TGTTGTTGTTGTTGTTGTTGTTGTTGTTGTTGTTGTTGTTGTTGTTGTTGTTGTTGTTGGTGTTGGTGTTTGTTGTTGTTGTTGTTGTTGTTGTTGTTGTTGTTGTTGTTGTTGTTGTTGTTGTTGTTGTTGTTGTTGTTGTTGTTGTTGTTGGTTTTGTTGTTGTTGTTGTTGTTGTTGTTGTTGTTGTTGTTGTTGTTGTTGTTGTTGTTGTTGTTGTTGTTGTTGTTGTTGTTGTTGTTATTGTTGTGGTGGTCGTCTTCGTTGTTGTCGTCGTTGTCGCCTTCTTCGTTGTCGTCGTGGTGGTTGTTTTTGTTGGTGGTGGTGGTGGGTTGTTGGTTGTTGGTTGTTGGATGTTGGCTGTTGGTCGTTGGTCGTTGGTCGTTGGTCGTTGGTCGTTTCTTGTTTGCCGTTGGTTGATTGTGGTTTGTTGCTTGTTGTTGGTTGTTGGTTGGTTTTTTGTTGTTTGTTGCTTTTTGTTGTTTGCGTGTTGTTTGTTTGTTGGTTGTTTTGTTGTTTGTTTGTTGTTTGCTTACTGTTGGTTTTTTTGGTTGTTGTTTGATTGCTTGTTTTTTTTTCTTGTTTCTTTGTTTGCTTGTTTGTTTGCTTGTTTGCTTTGATTGCTTGTTTGTTTGTTTGTTTTTGTTGTTTGTTCGTTTTTTTTTTTGTGTTGTTTGTTGGCGTGTTTGTCGTTGTTGGTTGTTGGTTGTTGGTTCTTGTCCTCGTCGTGTTTGCCCTTCACAGCTCCGGTTTTTTTCCCTACAGCATGTCAGACATTGCATGGCCCTCAGGATGCTGCAGACAGCTTCGAGCCGTGTGGGCACCTCGAAGGACGTGTCCTCGCAACTTGTTGCAGGGCGAACGAAAGGGTTGAAGGGTTGGCAGGGCCAACGCCGAGGTTCTGCGCCAGGGCTTTGTCATTGGCCAGGGCTTGCGTAGCCAGCCAGCAAGGCCAGCCGGGTCAAGATGCATTCACAGGCTGAGTTCCTTTGGGCCCAGGTGCTACGCCAATGTCCAGTCTGGCCAAGACACGGCTGGACGCTTGGCTTGGCAGCTGGGACGGAGAATTGTGAGCTGGGCAGGCTTGGTCACAGCGGGCACTTGTTGCTGTGGCAGGTGCAGCTCTTAAGCGAATTCAATTGCCAGAATGCGCATTGAGCATCATAGACAACGTTAGCTGCTTTGCATGTCGCTCCTGCCTTGCTGCTAGAGCTTGGGATGTCTTGCGATGGCTTCGGCGCAGACTTCAGCCTTCCGCTGCCATGCATGAGTGTCGAAAGAAGAAGTACTGAGACTAGGGTTGGTCTCGCTCTGTAGTGGGCTTAGAGAAGGTCAGTGATAGTGCGGCCTGCTCTGAATTTTACCTAACACAAAAAACTCAACAAGTCGCCAAAAGGAAAACTTTTCCAACTGAAAAGTCTCGGTGACAATGCCTGTCGGCGGTGTTCTGGAAACAGGATCTTTTTTTCGGCAGCGAGCAACTGTGCCAAACAAAACGATATGTAGATGTGTATACACTTCTAAGCTTCTCAGTTTGGATCCAGCAGAAGCAACTTATCAGAGGAAGGTTCGCCAAGTATTATATGATAAAAAAAAGCTTCAACTCCTCCGTCACGTCAGAAGAAGACCACGACACCACCCGCAACATCAGGTCACACTTGCTACCAACTCCTTGGAGCCAAGAACAGTGGAGCACAGAAGCAACATCAGGTCACATTTGCTACCAACTCCTTGGAGCCAAGAACAGTAGAGCACAGAAGCAACATCAGGTCACATTTGCTACCAACACCTTGGAGCCAAGAACGGTGGAGCACAGAAGCAACATCAGGTCACATTTGCTACCAACTCCTTGGAGCCAAGAACAGTGGAGCACAGAAGCAACATCAGGTCACATTTGCTACCAACTCCTTGGAGCCAAGAACTGTGGAGCACAGAAGCAACATCAGGTCACATTTGCTACCAACTCCTTGGAGCCAAGATCGGTGGAGCACAGAAGCAACATCAGGTCACATTTGCTACCAACTCCTTGGAGCCAAGAACAGTGGAGCACAGAAGCAACATCAGGTCACATTTGCTACCAACTCCTTGGAGCCAAGAACAGTGGAGCACAGAAGCAACATCAGGTCACATTTGCTACCAACTCCTTGGAGCCAAGAACAGTGGATCACAGAAGCAACATCAGGTCACATTTGCCACTAACCCCTTGGAGCCAAGAGTGGAGCACAGAAGCAACATCAGGTCACATTTGCTACCAACTCCTTGGAGCCAAGAACAGTGGAGCACAGAAGCAACATCAGGTCACATTTGCTACCAACCCCTTGGAGCCAAGAACGGTGGAGCACAGAAGCAGCATCAGGTCACATTTGCTACCAACTCCTTGGAGCCAAGAACAGTGGAGCACAGAAGCAACATCAGGTCACATTTGCTACCAACTCCTTGGAGCCAAGCACAGTGGAGCACAGAAGTGCGGGAAGACGAAAACAATCATGGACATGAACGCTTGTTGAGATTATATCGTGAGTAACATAAATACAAGAGAGCATATCAAACAGCTAGCGATCGCAAGAAGGCCTTTTTTTGATTGAAGCGTCTGACCACATGCTGTCATAGCACAAATGGGTCTCACCAAGCAGACCTACGGTAAAAACGCCTCTCTTCAGGTGTGGGCTTGGGCTGCGCAGTGGCGTTGAACAAGGCGGCTAGTTTTCTTCATGGCCATGCGATGCTATGCGGGTGCTGACCTCACAAAGCCGCAAAGCCCGTTCCAAGCATTCATTGCAGGCCCCGCCCACAGTGCGCAGCTCAATCATTCTCAGAGAGCGGGGGGTTGGTTGGGAGCGAGCTCAAGCAGTGAAGGTGAGGGCAGCTGAGCCACCGGGCGAGTTGGAGCCCCAGCGTGCAGGAGTGTTCGGTCTGTGATGGCATGGATGACATGAATGGGTGTTTCGCTGGTCTTTGTTCTCTTGGCTTCTTGATTTTGCAACAGCGTGGATGTGAGGCGACGATTGTGTGTCGTGGGCGAGGCCGCGGAGACGTAGCTTTCAAAGCATTGATAAGTTTGTGCCAAATGTTGCGGCGCATGTTGAAGTCACAGCTCAAAGCTTTTCCTCCGTCTAATGAGAGTAATTAAGCCTGAAGTCGTGAACTGTTACAAGGACTACCGCCAGAAATGCATGTATTGGCTCATGCTAGTGGCGGAGTAGTTTGGACAGCCGTGCGGCAAGTGGCAGCTGTCGCCTGCCCAAGCTACAATCTTGCTGCACGCCTGTCCGATTTGCTCAAGGCCTCCAGGAGGGTGGCCCCTTGACCGCTGCTTCGCTGGCATAGACCTAGAGATGCTTGGAGACCAATCAGTGTGAAACATGCTGCAATTCGCACATAATGGGTCAGTGGGCCTGAGCTTTGACAATCAATACCAAGCCATTACCAACGCAAGCTACTCAACACTTGGCTTTACACACTGGTGCGGAGTTTTCCTTCAATGCGCAGCCATGGTGGACAATGCTGGCAAGTTGCACAAGGTCGGCGTACGATGCTGGGGTCATGGGAATCCATCCAATGCCCACTTGTCCTTTGCAGGATCTGGCCGAATTGTCGGCAGTGGTACGGAGCGTGCAAAGCATGACTCACGTAGTGGCTGGCAACCTAGTGCGCAGCCACGTCATTGTCGTACTGCGCTGACGAACCTAGGACTCACACGTGGCACGGCTGGTGACTAACCACAGCCACGACAAGGAACGAGAGAAGGCGGAGAAGTATGCGCAGAAACTGGAGCCTTACGCTGCACCTCACCAGCAGTTCAGCGCTTGGGGACGTGAATGGTAGATCTCCATTGATTGACCTTTGCAGCATAGATGCTAGATCTTGACAATGCTAAGGAGCAGCTCCGGAAATGGGTCCATCTCATGGATATGGACTTGAAGAAGGTAGGCTTACCTCGTTTTCTGAAGCCGTTGTGAGATCTTGGTCCCTTCCGTTTGCGCAGTTGGTTTTGCTCTAGGTTCGGAATTGCGAATTGCTTCTTTGATCCTCCTCGGACTTGTGCTCATGCAGCTGACAGCGCCCCTTCAAGCCTTGCTGCAAGCTAACCTGAGCAACTCTTGTGGTTCCTTCCTTCTGGGAGTCATATGAATGCTACAGACAGTTCGATGTTTCAGAACACTTCCGCAATGACACGCTTCCAGACTGCATGCACATGCTGTGCCTGTGCCACCCTTTCACATGCCACAGCCTTGCAGGCTCTGACTGAGTTGGACTCGTCAGATGCAATGCAAATTCACAACAAAACGGCTTCACACGTGCATTCGACGCTTGCCTGATAGGGGTTTGCGAGTGAGTTCACGGGCAGAGTTGCCATCTAGTTTTGCTTCTTTGCGTCTGTTCCAAGGAAGAACAATGAGGTGAACAATGGCTCGGATCCAGCGAGTGCATCTTCAGCCACACTACCTATTCCAAAGCGTGTTGTATTCATGAATGACGAGGAGCGTATTCTTGTCAGTGGCAGTACATGGCAATACCCAACGCCGGCACTTCAGACCAAAAAGCAGATTTGAAGTTGCAGTTGCCGGTAGGAGTCTGAACAGCTGGCCCGAGAATCTGTGGAGCAGAGCGTGGGCATGGACAGTGACAAGCCCCGCAGATCATCCACTGCTTCAAAGGCATCATTGACCTCGAAGAACAGCAAGCATGACGAGAATGGCGAAGTCATGCTTGTCCTCGTTGCTTGGCAATGCAAGCCTAGATAAGCAAGGCCTGTGGTGCTGTGGAGCTGTACGACTGCACGCTTTCATGAAAGGCCACAGCTTTGAGCTCAGGATGGAGACGATGCGAAGCCCGTCAAGCTCAAGAGTCCAGCAGAAGTTGGCTTGATAGACCCGAGCTGGACCAGCAAGCTTGTTTGGGACATTTACGTCATGCCACGCACTTAGTCTTGACATAGAGCTGGGTTATTTTGATGCAAGTTTCCCCAAACTTGACAGAAGGAACTCATGGAAGCTGGGTTTTCCGAACCCAAACCCAGTGGTTAGCCTCAGCACTTGATTCAATGACATGGGCATTACCAGTCCAGCGGCTGGTAGTTCATGGCATCCGCTGTTTTGCGAGAAGACCAAGCGAGGCTGGTGGTGCTTGTGGACGCGATGGTGCTTCCCTTTCAGCTCTCCTTCAAAAATGGCACCTGGGACTAGTTGGTGGTTGAGCGGCTGCCCTTGTAATGCGTGCAGGACGCACCAATGCAAACCACGGGATGCATGTACTGATTTTGTTGCTCAGGTTTGCCCCCAGACCCCTTCGATGACTTTTGGTTTTGGCTCACCACCATGACCTTCACAGCTGCGCGAGCCTCAAACACTTGGCCCAGACGTGCCTGCCAATGCAATCTGCATTGAGTGAAACCAATGCTCAGCAATGTCAGCGAGGATATTGTTGTCAGCTTCGACACAGCTATCCGCTCGGAAGATGCAGAAGATGTCAAGGATGCAGGGGACTGGTTCAGTCGGTCTTTACTACTGTCCCGCAGCATGT